TATTCTGATTCTCACGGCCTCTATATCATAGAACCCTTTGACGGAACCCTATTCTGCTTCTTAAAGGCCCACCTAATATTTCGGGCCTAGGATGAGCGTCATCGTGGCTGTCGAGATGTCGACGCAGCCCTTCAAGACCTTCCAATTCGACGGAATTCTGGGCCTTGGTCTCTCTGGCCTCACGATGAACAGGCCCGGATGAGGTCTAATGCAGGAACCTGATTAAGAAACCCTGGGCCTATAACCCCCAAGATACAGCAGTAGGATGCATGTAAGGAACCCTAATAGAGGCCCAAGGTTTCTTACTCAGGTTCCTACATTAAAGTTTGGGGTCCGGATGCCGGGGCTTCTGCAGGAGGGAAGAAAGTTGGGATTTGTGTGTAGTTGTTGTGTCTTCTGATGTGGGGAGTTCGGGTCTGGGGTTCGGAATTGCTGCTTTCTTTATCTCTGTTTACCTCTTGAACTAGGGCCGTGTCGTCAGAGAGCGAGACCTTGTTCATAGCATGAGGCTTGCGAAAAATGTTGGCAAGAGTCCGCGACAGAGAAGGGGTCCGGATTTTTATCAAGCCTCAGGCAAGGTCTCTCAAGAGCTTCTCTGAACCCTAAAGCGGAAGACCCCTGCCCTTAAAGCCCCCGCGTTGCATCTGTCCTCCACCTCACAAGCCCAGATCCAGGACCTCCTCCAAGGACGAAGCCCTAGAGCCTGAAGAAGCCATCAAAGCCCGAAGCCCTAAAACCAAAAAAAACACAAAAACACTGAACTTCTTCGCCTCTTCTCAGAAACTTCAGCGCCTTCGACATGATCGTGAAATCGGGCATGGCGGCGCCGACCCCGGCCTAGTCTAATCTGAGATGGAGGAAGATTACTAGCTAAAAAGGGGCCTTATTAATGGTTTGACTATGTTACCTCTTAAAGGTTCTATAATTTAGGTAGGTTTGAGTGTGTATTTAGTACATAAGGGTATGTATGACAAGAAATCCTACGGAATAGTGATAAGTAATCAGGAACCATGATGGTGACGATAGCAATATTCAGATCGTACTAACTGACAACCACATGGCTCTTGGTGTCGGGGTTTGTTCTATATCCCAGTTCTCTTTGTTTTCATACCCGCAACTCTCAAAAAGGACCTGAATCAGCGAGCGTACGACCCGGACGTTCGGGTTCAAGCGATTTTCCTGCGTACTCCGGCGATTGTGGTCGCCCCTTCTGTAGATAACAGCAGCCTTGTTCCCGTCCAGATCCAATCCGATCTACCGATTCCCAAGCAAGAACTTCGGAGCACGATGCCAAGGCGCAGCCCATCTTCAGCGTATTCCTCTCCGATGGTGAATTTGGTGAGCAAAGCGAGGCGCTCTCTTCTCTCTTAAGCTCTAAGCACGCATTGTCTCACCCTGTGCTGCATCACAGGTGGCAATGGGTGGCGTGGATCCACGACGTGCGCAGACTCAGACAGGGGACTCGGGCATGTAGGACCCAGGGTAGGCCCTTATTCCCTTTTTTAGGGTTAAGGTTCCCCTCTAACCCCCTTTAACCCAAAAAGGGCACCCTTTGTATTCCTAGGTTACTCTTAGGTCTAGGCATGTAAGCACGCAGGTCTAAGCTTTGAGGGAGGGCTCTTTTTAAGGCTTACCCGGCAACTGTCAGACCGAAAAGCTGAGATCTAATGCAGACCCCTGGTTTCGCAAACTTCAAGAAGCATCTGTTTCCGAGGTCGTGGCCCTTGGAAATGGCAGGTATCCATCGGGGTTCTGCAGTCCCAACAAAGCCTAGGGCCTAAGCCCAGTAAGCTTGAAGGCCTCCCTGGGCGCAACCTACTTGGAGGTTCATGGGTAGTTATAAGTAGGGTTCCTTTAGAGGGATCTATAGGGTTATAAGGTTTAGGGATTAGGGTTTAGGGTAGTTAGAAGAGGGGTTACAAGTAGGGTCACTATACTTATAACTCATATCGGGGGACTTAGAACCCTACTTATAGCTACCCATGAACCTCCAACCGAGAGGAAAAACTGGTGAATCTGTCCGCCTAAGAGCCTTCATGCTACAAAAATACCTCACAAGCCCGATTCCGCCCTACATAAGACCCTACACAACTCGATGACAATGCTATCAATAATCCTCTGCTTCCTAAACCCTAAACTCTTGAGTTTTAAGTAGAAGTATACTACATCTAATAGGCCCTTATTCTCTAGTCATGAAGACCCTACACCCTAAACCCGGTAGTAGGCTCAACCGGTCCAAGGCCTGGTGGAGCCCATCTCCTGGAGCGATGTCGCCATGCAGGCGTGCTGGAATGGGCGCGGGGAGTCGAACCTAGGGGGGCCTTCCGGACGAGTCACCTATACCATACTCTATTCTACTGTACTCATACTATACTTTACTGTACTTAACTATACTTTACTTTACTATACTATGGCCTCGCGTGGTCGTATATCATCATATGTCATGTCTCATTGTCCTATGTTTTAGTATCTCACAGTTTTCTTCCTGATAGCTCCTATTCGCACTCTAGCATCTATAGTGGCCTGACATAAAGAGCTTAATAGAGGGACCTGAATAGATAGTTGTACTCTTGTTCCTCAGGGTTCCGTACGTAGGGTTCTCTGATATGCCATGATCGCAACAGACCACGAAAGGGTCTGGACAACGCAGAGGGGGGTTCCGGGGTTAGGACCCCCGTGATTAGCAGAATTGCTCTTCCTGCGATTCCAACCTACATGTGTATATGTATCTATCCTGATATGTATATATGTATGCATGTATGTATGCATATGCTTGTTTAAAGTACACAAACGCAGAGACGCATACAGAAGTACAAAGATAAATCGATGCATGAACAGTATCAAGAAAGTCATTGTACACACACACACACCTGCGCATACACATATATACCTATATGCCTATATACCTGACATGTACCTATATACTTGTATACCTATACATTATACAACGGAATATCCCGGCGAGGTATTGCTTTCACCGAAACCCAAAACATTGAAGCCTACACCCTAAATCCAAGCCCTAAGGCCCTTCGCAGCCCAAGCGTAAACCCGGCATAATAGCTGAGACCCGAGCAAACGCGAGCTGCAGACCAAAGAAAGACCGGGAACGGTGCGATATCTGAAGCATGCACGCGAGAAGACGAAGCAGGATGACAGTCAGGGAAAGGGGTGCGACACAACTTGTCACACCTCAATTGCAGGCCTTCAGCTGCCGAAATGAGGCCTCGGATACAAGGAAGTCGGCCTTCGCTGCACAAGCAGAGCTTGAAAAGCAATTAAAGCTGCTTATGTCAGGTCTAGTGGGCAGGTTCTACAAGCAGAAGGGCGCGGGCAGGACCTGAAAAAATGGCGCAAATGTAAGTAGTAGTTGCAACCTCGTTTACGAAGCCTGCCCGCGAGAGTTCAAGGCTGGATAGCAATGACACGGAGTGGCCAAAGGTAGTCCTCGAGTGTTGGAGGCCGGCGCAGTCAGCGAGAGCACGCGGCAGACAAAAGGATTGGTGCCTAAAGCACCGCGACAATACAGTCGGCCTCCGGAGGTGTTCCCCGCAGCATAGCTGCAGACACCAGGCCTGCAGACTGTCGGCAGGAGCACCAGTGCCAGTTTCCCAATCGCTCGTTGGCCTCCCGTTCCAACTCGCCCTGTGATTGGCCTTCGACGTACTTGTCTGCAACAGGTCTGCGACGAGTCGTGAACGAAGTCTCTTCGCACTGTTTTTGGCATGCGCAGAAGCACTTCACTGGCATGTCAGTTGCGCAGGCCACTCGCGAAGTGCAGCAGGCTTCCGGCCTGGATGTCACATCTAGCTTGGAACAGAGATCCCGGCAGCATGGCAGAAGGGACCGGCAGCCTAGATTGGGTAGGCATGCATAACAGTGCAGACAATTACGCGAGACGGCGAGGCATGCGCACAGTGAACAGAAGAGGAAATGGATAGCATCACTTCAAGCAGATCCGGTGCCGGAGGCCTGTTTGTGTCGCCTGGAATATTGACTCTGAAAAGTTGTGCACATCACCAAATCTTCTAAAGCGTGTCTGTGAACAAGCAGAGCAGGAACTGGCAGGTTCATTGCTGAGACCCCAGCAGCACGTCGTGACCTGCAAGAGGACGCCCACCACGCCAGACGCCAAACATTACGCTTACATTTTGGAGTCTCTCCAGTCGACATACATAGTCATGGCATTCAAGGTCCCTTTGGCAGCCTTCCGACCTGCCGGTCGTTCGTGTGTGGATTTGCTTTTCTGGGTGTCACGCACCGCGAACCGTGTGGGCGACGCCACCTGGTCTTGTGCCGGTTGGGTCAGCACTCGACCATGTCGACGGCCGGGCGCGATCATGTAGCGGCGAGAAGCAGGTGTCACGTAGGTCACCAGAACGTCGCGGAGAAGCTCCATCGTGATGCGGCCGAGTACGGGAAGTTTTTCTTTTGTGGGACATCAAGGATGCACGTCCCACAAGGAGCGTGTTCCAATCGCTGCACTTGCACAACCCCAAAGTATTCCGATGGAGTTGGGGAAGGCCAGGCGAAGCCAGCTTTCTGCCGCGCGCATTGAAGCGGCATCGTGCAACATGTAATACGATCCTGAAGCACACATCTACGATCGATTCAAGGTGCTTGCTCTTTGCAGGGGCTGCTGCTGGCTTCTAAAAATGCACGAATGCGGGTTGGAGAATGCAACATGTCGTCGCTGCAGGGAGTGTTATTGTCAGGAAGCGTTTAAGTCCGGAGCAGGCTTTTTGTTTTATTGCGAATGATTTCAACCTTTTTTCCTGCAGTACTACTAGTACTAGTACTAGTACTAGTACTAGTACTAGTACTAGTACTAGTACTAGTACTACTACTACTACTACTACTACTACTACTACTGCTGCTACTGCTGCTACTGCTACTACTGCTACTACTACTACTACTACTACTGCTATTACTACTACTACTACTACTACTACTACTACTACTACTACTACTACTACTACTGCATGAACAGGCAGAATGCTATTATGGTGGCGGAGCATGGCAATGAGCTACCTGATAGCGAGACGCCTGGCGAGCATCTAAGAGTGACGACGCCTACCTCCTCCGCGACCACGTCTGGCTGCACCATGGATGGGGATATGCCTTTTACGGCACATGTTATGCAGGATTCAGCTGGGACTGATTTCTCCGTGCGTGTGTCAGCGATCTCTACACCACTCAGCTCATGTGCGAGGCCTGTACATAGCGGTGAGGAGGCTGCGGAGGACTTGACGATGATGGCGCCGGAGATCCAGCTCAGTCTTGAGACGATGGACTAGAGTCCTTTTTGCTTAGATTAGGGAACCGTGTACCCAACGCGGTGCAGCCGAAGAGCTGCCGGGCTGGCGAGCCTGTCCTCGCAACACTCCGGATTGAACGGTGCGGCGTCCGAGTGAGTACTACTACTACTACTACTACTACTACTACTACTACTACTACTACTACTACTACTACTACTACTGCATTGCTACTTTTTTTGTTCCCACTTCTACGGCGACACTTTGCTTCAAAGTGAAAGCAGTAGGACCGATTTTGCAGGCATTATTCCCATCCCAAGTCAAAGCAGTAGAAAGGTAGTGCACAAGGCTTTGCACCAAAGTGAAAAAGGGAGACCTGGTTTCCGAGGCCTTGCCCGACACTGATACGCAATCGCAACCAGTGCTACGGAAACGTTGTGCGCAGCAGACCTGACTCCGGAGCCCTTGCTCCCAAGGCCGTAAACTTGTGTTGAATGAGGTTTTGCGCCAAAAAACCACCGACGTGATTTCGGAAGCCTTGCCCGAAGGTGGAAGCAGGAAACGTACTTTTGAAGGCCCCACCCCCAAACCGAAAGCGGTGGGCGTGCATTGCGCCTCCGCGACAAGAAAACCTATACCCCAACCCGCATACCACAAACCCTACACTTAAACCCTAAACCGAAGGACCCTAAACCCTAAATTTTGAGACGCTGAGACATTGAAGCTCTAAACCTTAAAACAAGCCCAGCCCTAAATTTTAAACGTTAACTTTCACCGCGAAGCCCGTAAACCCTCAATCCGTTAACCTTCAACCCAGAACTCCTTAAACTCCTCAAACCTACAAAGCCCAGCCGGAGGACCTCGGCTATTGGCAGGTGCGAATTCGATCCGTTCGAATCGGCGGAGAGGAGTCGCTCAGCTAGGGTTAGGACGTTAGGGTTTAGGGGCTTAAGGTTGAGGGCGCGGCTTTGGCGCAATAGCGCTACATCAAATGATAGGGGCCTGAAAATACATGCTTTAAATTGAAGCAATTGTCCTTCATCCTCTAAGGGGTAATATGCTCTTTCAATAGTTGAGCAGGTATCAAGTAACCTGTAATTGTTCGGTTTATCTTGTGTAATCCTACCATGATTAGCCCTATTGGTCTCCGGCATGGGATGTGTGCAATATGCCTGGAGTGTTTATTTTCTGGTACTGACAGGAACTGTTATACTCATACTTGTCAAGATTCTTTCAGGACAGTCGACATGTTGGTGTTGGGGCTCCTTTCGGGTGTTCCGCGGACATTTGTGGCTCTGTAAGCCGTGGGATGCTCTAGAGCTTTCAGAGTTGCAAGATTCAGGGTTTCGAGGCGTTGATCAATGTTTCAGGGCTTTCGGGTTTGACAGTTCCGGGAAGCACTGGGGCAAAGGAGGCAGTTTGGGGCTGGGTTCTTTCATAGCATTTTAAATTACCCAGTGGCAATGTCTGTGGCTTCATATTGTGGTTCCAAAAGGCTTAAGGCGGGCTCGGTCTCCTGTTATCCCCAACCCTCAACCGAGCTTCACATAGAGGGCCACTGTATAGGTATAGTCTCTATAGCTTTAACTTGTTTCACAACTATCTACCGCAAGTTCATCATCAAGCGCCCTAATTTCAATCCTTCGACCCTCGACTGTCAAACCCTGATAAGAACCTCTTAATAGACGTTTGAAAAGAGCCCATTCCAATCCAAAAGCGAAAGGTCGGCAAAAGGGTGCCCTGACTCATCATAAAGGGGCTGCTCAGGAACCTAGCAGAACCTGCACCGGCCAAGGCTGGACGTCTGCATGGACGGCACCTGCCGCGGCGTGGTGGACACTGGCACCTCACACCTGGGAGTGCCCGCTCCCTGGGACAAGGACGAAAAGAGAAGACAAGTAATGCGGCCGTAAAAATTGGAATAGGGTTCCTCTAAGGGGGTCTTATAAAGATTCGCCCCTATCGTAGACCAGGGCTCAGAGTGAGAATTCAGGAGTGCTACAGTTCGGGCGTTGTGCATGGGTTTGGATTGTGCGGCTTCTGGGAAACAGCAGCTCAGAAAGTCTACCTATAGTCTTCATTGTAGTTCCCTCTTTTTTGGTTAACCAACTCTATGGTTAGGATCTTATAATAGAAACGATGGCCATTCTGGCAGTTCTTGAGGCTGAGGGTTTCATCGGTCTACAACCCTGAACCCAACACCCGGCTTTCTTGTGTACCAGGCATCGCAGGTTGGCACGGAAGTGCAGTAGCTACTTGAAAGATGGTGGGAGTTGGCAGTTCGGACCCATAGACCCTAATTAGAGTACTTAATTTGGGTTATGAACAATAAGTTCAGCATACTGGTAAAAACACATTAACCCGAATTAGAGTAAATCTAAACTGACAGAGTGCCACGGCCCAACCCGGCTTCCTCAATCTGAAACGCTAGGACGCCAGGAGGTCAAAGGATTTTCCGAGCGGATCCTCAGCTCGAGTTGAGCGCTTCAGGGTGCAGGGTTTGGTCCCCTAGTATAGGGGACTCAATAATTACCTATACTTGTGGGGGTTCCTTCTTATAACCAAAGCATAGTGGGCCCCAAAACCCTCTTTTGATTATTGAGGCCCCGAAAGTACGCCAACACCCCACATCCAAAGCCGCAGATGCTCACGTCCGCCGCTTTGTGAACCCTGGATAGATAGCTCCTGGCCCAAGCCTTGCCCCCCAGAAAAAAACAGACAGACAGATATACACACGCATACATACGTACACACAGAGGCACCAACCAACCAACCAACGTACGCACGAAACGCGCGCCCGCGAACTCAAAGCAAGCATGAAGAACTACGCTAACCCTTTGATTCCTGAACCCAGATCCTGTAGACTGCATCACCTGCAGGAGGTGGAGAAACGTCTCAAACGAGAAGCCGGGGATCTGTTGGATTGCCGATGCCCGGCTGGAAGAAATGTCAAAAAGATTCAAAATCCTGCTTCTTGGGGAAGAAATTTCAAAAAGATTAAAAATCCTGCTTTTTGGCTGAGGCTTCCAGGGCCTTGAGGTTTGCGGTTTTTGGAATTCAAGTTTGGGGTTTCCCTTCGTGCTTTTGTCTTTCTTTGGCCCGCTACCGATTTGGGAGTTTCCGAAAATAGGGGACCCTAATATAATACCCCAAATAGTAGGATCCTTATTATAAGGACTCCAAACTAAGGTACCCCTAATTTTTGGAAACTCCCATTTCCCCGGGCTCCAGCATGAGACCACGAGGATGCTAAGTAACTTGGAGGTTCATGGGTAGTTATAAGTGGGGATGTGTAGGGTTATAGGGTTTAAGGATTAGGGTTCAGGGTTCAAGGTAGTTATAAGTGGGGTTATAAGTAGGGTATCTATACTTACAGCACATATCAGGGGACTTAGGACCCTACTTATAGCTACCCCTGAACCTCCAAGTACACCGCCAACAGCCTGAACCCTAAATCCTTCGAAGCCTAGCACCTGGCAAAGGAAATGCGGAGGCTCCCGAGATAGAGATTGAGCTGCATGAGGGCAAGGCAGGGATCTTTAGGGTATATTGAAGTCTCGGAGTGTTAGGTTCAGGTAGGGTGCCTCAACTTCAGGGTTTTTGGGGCTTGTCTGGCTTGAAGAGTAGGGACGAAGGACGAGGTTTAAGTCGGGATCTTGGAATCTTGGGTTTAGGTCTGAGAGGTTTGAGTAGGACGTCAACTTGCAGCGCTGTCATTTTCCTAGCATCCTACGTATACCCTTACTTGCTGCGCGGGGTTGTGAGTCTGTAGTCCCAGTTTCTAATCATTAAGCCCCCTATTGGAGGTTTTGGGGGATGGTCAGCCCTTTTGCGAGCTTCGGGATTCTAGCTGCGCCAACATCTTCACTTTCCATTTGCAGGTTCATGGGTAATTATAAGTGGGGTTATGCGTAGGGCAGCTATACTTACAACTCATATTAGGGGACTTATAACCCTACTTATAACTACCCATGAACCTCCAAGCACGCGAAGCTTCAATCAGCTGGCAACTTATCCCCACATCCTGGCTGGTTGACTCTATAGTCCCTACCATGTCCGAGCATCACCAAGTGCCTTGTTTATTCTAATATTCGGACCGTCACTTTGAGACGGAGAGAGATAGAAAGAGATTGTGACAGAACGACGGACAGATAGAGAGAGCAAAGGGGGAGGAATGATCCGGAAATCAGGAAATCGCCTTTGCCCTACATCATAAATCCTACGCCCTCTGGGAGCATGACCGTGAAGAAACAAGGCCCTTTGGGAGTTGCCGGGAAGGTCATTACCTTGTATCCCTTCAACTACATGCGTCGCCTGCCGCTGCGGGAGGGTGTCTCAGTGGGATCATCAGGAGGCCTCCAAGCCGGCTTCTTCTATATAGTATAGTATGGGATAATGTAGCAGAAAAGTAGTCTGATCAAATAAGAAATAGAGTATCATATGGTAGAGTATGTTTTGGTTCATATAAAATAGTTCAACGTAATATTAGACAGATGTTATTTGGTGTCTTAGGTATAGTACGGGGGGCCTGAGCCCCTAGTAAGAATGTTGGCTACGGTGGTTTCCTGGCTATAGAGTTATGTTTTTGTGCAGCATACCCTCTAAACCCTGTTCCAGCTGTTCAGGAACTAGGGATGCTTGCTTGGAGGTCCTGAATCCTAGTCTTTAGGGTTTAAGGTTAAAGGGCTGTGCAGGCTTCTTCGAAAATTTAGACGGGATCGAGCACAAAGATCTGGGCACATTTCTTTGTGGGAAGCCTTGATATCTGAAGTTCCGAAGTGCTGCAGGACCGCACAAAAGGTGGTTATGCAATATATGATGTCACATCACATTATACTATACTATATCACATCTTATTCTATGATACTTCATTATTCGATACTATACTAAAATATGTTGTACACTTGCTGCGCAAGGTCCCCACAGAGTCATCAGCCGGGTTCCTCGGATCAGTCATAGGGGTCCTTAGGGATGTAAGAGCAAGCAGGTGCTAACCCCACACCTCATACCCTATACTCCCCCCTACGCTTTCACCCCATTTCTCAAACCGCCTAAGAACTCAACCTCTCAAAACCACAAAACACAAAGCACCTCCCAAAACAAATACAATAATCCATAACACAACCCTAAACCAAAGCAACCTCCCAATACAACACCAAACCCCAAGGCACAAAACAAAATCCGAAGCACCGCCCAAATCCCGCACAATAATGCATAACACAACCCGAAACACAAAGCACGTCCCAACTCAACACCAACCCCCAAAGCACAAACAAAGTCCGAAAGAACCTCCTTACTCCACACCTCGCATCCTATACTCCCCTCTACACTTTCACCCCATTTCTCAACCTGCCTAACATTTCAACACTTCAAAACACTAAAACACGAAGCACTCCTCAACTCACAACAAAACAAATAGCACAACCCAAAACACAAAGCACCTACCAACACAACACCATATCCCAATACACAAACAAAAATCCAAACAACCTCCTTCCCCCACACCTCAACCCTTCAAAACACCAAAACACAAAGCACCACCCAACTCAACAAAAACACCAAAACACAAAACAAAATCAAAACAACCTCCTTCCCTCACACCTCATACCCTATACTCCCCCCTACGCTTTCACCCCATTTCTCAAACCGCCTAAGAACTCAACCTCTCAAAACCACAAAACACAAAGCACCTCCCAAAACAAATACAATAATCCATAACACAACCCTAAACCAAAGCAACCTCCCAATACAACACCAAACCCCAAGGCACAAAACAAAATCCGAAGCACCGCCCAAATCCCGCACAATAATGCATAACACAACCCGAAACACAAAGCACGTCCCAACTCAACACCAACCCCCAAAGCACAAACAAAGTCCGAAAGAACCTCCTTACTCCACACCTCACATCCTATACTCCCCTCTACACTTTCACCCCATTTCTCAACCTGCCTAACATTTCAACACTTCAAAACACTAAAACAAGAAGCACTCCTCAACTCACAACAAAACAAATAGCACAACCCAAAACACAAAGCACCTACCAACACAACACCATATCCCAATACACAAACAAAAATCAAAACAACCTCCTTCCCCCACACCTCAACCCTTCAAAACACCAAAACACAAAGCACCACCCAACTCAACAAAAACACCAAAACACAAAACAAAATCAAAACAACCTCCTTCCCTCACACCTCATACCCTATACTCCCCCCTACGCTTTCACCCCATTTCTCAACCCGCCTAAGAACTCAACCTCCTAAATCCACAATACACAAGCACCTCCCAAATCTCACGCACAAATCCCAAATACAATCCAAAACACAAAGCACCTCCCAACACAACCCCAAAACCCCAAAGCACAAATCAAAATCCGACGAACCGCTCCTCTTGAGGCTTCGGCCGAAGCGACCCGGCACCTAACCTCCTATACTCCCCCCACACGCGTTCACCTCGTTTCTCAACCGTCTAAACCACTTCCCAACTCCACACCAAAATCCCAAATACAAAGCCATCACAAAGCTACCGGGACAAGCTTGACCATCGCGTGCTGGGAAACGGCTGCATCAGCGACGCCAGACGGCACGGCTGGCATGTTTATGAAGTTGAACCCGTGCTTTACCGTGCTAGTTTTCAGCAGCCTACTAGACTTGCACAGCTTGCCGCGCCATGAGTTTGCAGAGCAGTTATCCACGTTGACCTGTGGCTGTGTTGATGCCTTGTGAATGAACATTCATGTTCGCTGTTGCCATGCTCAAAGAGGAGTACATGTTGGTAGAACCAAATTTGGATGTCCTCGTGGACCACATGCGGAACAACAAGAAGTTAGCCATGGTGTTTCTGTTTGCCTTGGGGCAGTGGGCAATGCCCTTCATACCACCACAGGCGAATGCGGAGAAACAGGTCACTAAGCTCATGGCCGTGATACCGTCTTTTGTTGCAGAGAGGGCCGTGGCTGAAACCCCAGACAGTACACAAGCTCCTTCCGCGCCCTCATTTCCACGGCTTACCGCGGGCGAAGCTGTCGTTTACAGTGCCGGGGGCATCATCTTAGGCAGCATCATCATGAACCTCATCAACGCGTTCTTCGACCGGGTCAAGAACATCGAGCAGAAGGTATCGTCACAGTCGTCCAAGCTGGATATCATCGCTGTCGCTGTGTCACTCAATGTTCTCGCAACCGTCGGCCTGTACTTGGGGCCACAGCTGAAAGGCTAGAGCCATAGTTTAGCTGCAGCCGAGGGCAGAAAAGGAAGGGAGCGTTTTCAGCACGTCTGCTTTCTCCGTTTTGTGAGCAGTTGCTTCATCCAGCACCCCTTAATTAACCTTCGTCCCCCAACCCTATCCGCGACCTTATCCAGCATGACAGGTCATCACGGACACCAGTATCGCTCTCGCAGAGAAGTTCCAGACGGGGCTGCGCCGTTGCTGGGTTTACTAATTTGGAGGTTGGTTTAGGGTTTGGGTTGAGTTTTAGAGGGTTTTGCGAGCTTGTCGGCTCTTCCAATCATTGATACGCAGAAGGCGGGCTTGCTAGGTTTAATTTTATGGCTAGGTTGAGGCTGGGGTTTAGACTCGCTTGCTGTGCCTTTTTGCTCATGTTTTTTGGGGAGTGCAGGCGTAACTAAGTAGACATGTCTTTTGCATTCTTCCATAGCTGAAAGGTAAGGAATTTTTCAGAAACCCTAAGGCAATATCCGAAAAAGTCTCATGTTTAGAACTTCTTACAAAAGATATAGCAAAGCATATTACACAACAAACAGAAATCAAGAAAAAGCAAAACGACAAAAGAACACCCTAAAATCAGGAATAGATTATAAAAGTAAAGAGTTCGTTTACACCTTGAACAACTCGTGTCTCAAATACCCTCTCTTATCATCGTTCTCTAAATAGTAGTAGCTTTGACCTAATTTCTTATCTATTCGCTTTACAGTTTGGGGAGTTTTAACCCAATGACTGGTGCGTTCTTTTTCACTAATACCTTTTTTGCGCATTATTTTAACACTGTCGCCTACTTCTATTTCGGGGTATGTTCTATTGCGTTTTGCCTGTAAAGATATATTCAATTTAACTTCAAATTCATTTTTCTTTTTTCTTGCTTCTAATGGGGTCATTTTTGTAGTTGATGAAACCATTTTATTATTATATGTTAATAATATCTCCAAATTAATCTATCCACTGGATATTTTGCTTACCCTTTTTTTCATCTGCTTCAACCCGCTTAAAAAGCATATCTTTATAGGTTCTTATAAACCGCTCCGCGAATGCTGGATGTCCTCTTGTTCTGTGTATCTCAATTTTCTCACCTTCAAAATATTCTATAACGGTTTTACTATACAAACTCCCTTCCTCATCACTGTAAAACATCTTCGGTTTATCGCCCATTTTTTGTAGTCCTTCCATTATTCCTGCCAACATATCAGGTGGTTCTTTACTCTTGATAGGTATAACTGTAGCATATTTACTAAAGATATCAATTAAAACTAATCCTATCCTAAATTTTTGGTTTTCTAAATCATTTTTACTAATAAAAAACAAATCCACCTGATATTCAAAATGCGCGTGAGGTGCTACAAAACTATTCTCGCCACGCGGTTTGCGCTTTTCTTCAACATTCTTTCTAAAAAACTCCTCAACGTCCTCTTTTGTAATACTTTTATCCTTCTCTCGGGCATCTTTTAAAGTAGTCGCCCTACTCCCAAAACCCGAGCGGTCGTAATAAATATCATTAATGATTTTTTGCTTATTGGAACTCATACAAATAACAATATATTTTATTATTTAATGGACCGATACATTACAGTAAAAGCAATAAGCACAACAATTGTCTAAATGATGTCCGTAATCATTACATAGACGCTGTGCTGTAAAGTTGCTACATAACTTACCTTGCTTCACTTCAAAATTGAATGCTGTATTACATTTCTCGCACCTGCTTTTAAACATTTTCAGACACGATTCGGGGGTTATGTATTCTTCTTCATTTATGCTTCTTTGGGAACGCCGGTCCTGTAGTTTGTAATTCTCCACCTTGTTTTTAAAGTATCTCATTATCATGTTTTTATCCATTTGTTTGTCAAAACTTGCGTTGTTGTAAAACCTGACTTTTCTAAAATCAACACAGCGTGTAATACTCGTCCAAACCCACTCCCTGCTTGCTATTGGTAAGTTGTATTCGTGTATAGTTATACTCCCCTTTACACTCGCTCCCTGACTTGAATGACAGGTTGCACAGTATGAATATATGAAGTTGTTATCAACGACCGCTTCAAACAGCATAAACTCATCTTCATCATTCGCTATGTTCTGTAATGTTATTTGCGCTCCGAGTTCGTCGTGCTCTATGCT